GAGCAGGGGAATGATATGGCCAGACCCATGCTTCAGGAATATCACTTTGGCAGCTGTGGAGAATGGTTTCGAGGGGGGAAAAAAAAAGGCTAAGCCAGGCAGAACAAATCGACAAAAAAGGAAAAAGACACAAATGTTGGTGAGGCTATGAGAAAACAGGCACACTAACGCTCTTTTGGTGGAGCTGCAAATTGGTATAGCCATTCTGGAAAGCAATTTGGAACTGTGCCCATAAATATATTTTGACTCGGCAATACTACTATGAGGACTATGCCACAAAGAGAGCAAAGAAAGAGATTAAAAAAAGGACACATATGTACAAAAATATTTATAGCAGCTCTTTCTGTAGTGGCAAAGAACCAGAAATGAAGACATGGTTCCTGAGAAGGTTGAGAAGGCTTATATGAACTAATGCAATTAATGCTCATAAGTGAGCAGAACCAAGAGAATAGCTTATACTATAACATCAATATTGTAAATACAAACAATTTTCAGTTTGGAAAGACTTAAGAATTCTTATCAATGCAATGGTTAACCATGATTTCAGAGTACCAATGATGAAACGCTACTCATGTCCTGACATAGAGATAATGGACTAACATATAGAATGAGACATGTGTTTTTAGATATGGCCAATATGAGAATTTGTCTTGCTTAACCATATATATTTGTTAAAAAGCATTTTGTTTTGTTTTTTTTTCCAATTGGAGAGGGGGAGAGCTGGGAAGGAGAAAAAAATGCTTGAAAGCTGAAATGTTTGTTAAGAAAATTTTTTAAAAAGTTAAAAAAGAAAATAAATAAAAAAGAAAGGCATGTAATACTACTCACTTTCCTGACCAGGTGAATTTTAGGTGGAAAAAAAAAGATAATTAAAAGATTTTTATGAACTGATGTAAAGTAAACAGAACCAGGAGAAAATTTATACAAGGGCAGCAACATTATAAAGACAACTTTGAAGGACTTAAAACACAATAACCAAACATAGAACCAATGATGGAGTACACTACCTACCTCCTGACAGAGAGGTAAAGGACTCAAGACGTAGAACGAGTTATGTTTGGATATGGCCAATGAGGGAATTTGTTTTGCTTGACTATGCATATTTGTTAGAAAGAGGTTTTTTCTCCTCCTTCAATGAGAACAGGGGGAAGTATTACATAGAAAAACTGCCTGTTAATTGACCAAAGAAAATAACTCACAATAAATGAAAATGCCAAGAAACCTTTACAATGCCTGCCCTCTTCCTACCTCTACAACACTGTTGCATTACTCTCCCTATTGTGCTAATGCTGGATCGCAGCCAGGCTTTCTGACTGTAAGTTCACCTTCAAGAGGTCAGCATGTTCCACATTCAGAGTTTCTTGCAGAGCTCAATGATTAACTGGTTCTTGTACCCAGGGAGGTGAGGTATCTTGAAACACAACCAACCAAATTACAATATCTAGTATACGTGATTTTTGCTTCAGTGTGTAGGCTGGCTTCAGTGTTTTGAAGTTCCTGTAGTTGGTATGAATGATAACTAGGTGGTGGACCCTCTCTAGCTAATGGTGCCAAGCACTGAATGCCCCTACTAAAAGTAATAGCTTTTTCTACCAGTGTGTGTGTGTATACATCTCAGGGGGCCACATGTGGCCTTCTAGGTCCTTGGGTACGGCCTTTTGACTGAGTCCAAGTTTTACAGAACAAATCCTATTATTAAGGGGATTTGTTCTATGAAGTTTGGATCCAGTTAGAGCCGGCCCCACTTGAGGAACCAGAGAACCACATGTGGTCCTGAGGCCGCAAGTTCCCCATCCCTGGTCTAGGAGAAAACAGCTTCCATTACAAATTGGGGGATATCTTTTCACAATGAATGGTTGATGAAGGTTGGAGTATCTCAAGATGGAGGTACATATATGTAAATGTGTTTTAGTTTCCTAAAGATGTTTTTGGCCACGGAAGACTTTTGGATTTTTAACAGTTTGGTGAAGGAATCTATCAAGAACAACTCAGGAATGAAATGGCTGTAGTAATCCACGAAACTACAAAACTTCTATATGGTATCCACTTTTGTGTGGGCCCATCCTTACTCTCTGCTAGCTCATGAAGTACCCCAGGAATTCCATACACTGGCTGAACTAGCATTTTTCAGATTCACATAGAGCTGGTATTTGTGGACACAGGCCAGTATACTGCAGGCTAGCTGGTTGTGCTGGTCATGTTCCTAGATGCATACCAGGATGTCATCCAGGTCAACCAGAACCCCATAGCCCAGCAGTTGTCGAAAGGTGATATTCATGAATATCACCTGGAATATCACCAGGATGTTACATGGTTTGAATGGCATGAAAGTATACTCTAGCTGGTCATATGGAATTTGAAAACTTTTTTTCATTCATTGGCTTCCTATATACACATCAGATTATAATAAACACCACTGTCCAGAATAATTGGTCCAGGACTAACAGGAGATGGTACCAGTTCTGGGCAGTGAGGGCAAAAGAACATATTGCTCTTCACAAAGCATCAGAGCCTCTCTGGGAGAAGTGGACAATTGAATGCTCTCCATACATTTATCTCCAAAGATTCCTAAAGGACAGGGATTTCTGATTCTTCCAGAAGTCAGGGATGGTAGCACTGAGCCTTCGTGCCATTTAATACAATGATGAATTCGCCATATTTGCTAGGTGCTCCAGAATGGTGGGGATGGCTAGATACAATTCTGCGCACATGGGTAGGAGCCAGCAATGATCTTTAGTGGATACCACGTGACTGGGTATATATAGTACCAACTAAAATACACCTCCACCCCCCCAACCCTCTCCAAACCTACTGCTCCTAGGAAGTAGACATGCATGTTACCCAGTTTTAGGAGTTCATGGCAATTCCCCAACCAGGCTTCAAAAGACAAATCTCATGAGTAACAAGACCAGAAGAGAGTGGGTACCAGTCCATGATTTATGTCACCACTGGAATGACTTGGAGATACACTGGGACTTCTTTTTGGCCAGGATTATAGCCATAAAGTTTCTGGATGCCCTTGACTAAATGGAAAAGCCTGTGACTAGAGCTCCTGAAAGTTGTAGAATTAAAGGTTCAATTACAACTGCCTTAAGGGACAGGTTTCAGGGGACAGAGACTTAGGAAGAGGTATTTTCACCAGTTATCTCCCTACCAAAGAATCTGGCTGGCTGAAATACAAATAAAGACCTTTTGTTTGTGACCTAAATGCTATATATCTAACGGGGACAGTTAGTGAACTGGTAGATGCTGAGCTTTCTGGGATTAGAGGATCATATATTCAGAGATGGAAAGTATTTCAGGGGCCATCAAATCCATTCCTCTTCTTTTACAATTGAGGTAAAAAGGTAACTGAGGCCCAGAAAGGTTAGATGACTTGCCCAGGGTCACACAGCTATTAATTATCTGAGGTGGGATTTGAACCTTGGTCTTCTTGACTCTACGACCAGCGTTTTATTCACTATACCACACTGCCTTGAGGAACAGGCTCTGTAAGAAGAAAGATGAAAGAAAAGGGAGTACTTTGGGCAGTAGTTAAGTAGATCTGACAGAGGGTGAATAAACGGTATAGGTACAACCACCAAACTCTATGGGGATCCAGAAAGCAGTTCTCAGAGAATGAAGGACTGATATGAAATGTGATATGTGATGCACACCATGACCTGTGACATATGCAAAAGAAACAAACTTGAGGACCTGGTATATATTGACATCTCTTGCATGTTTCTTCTTTACTTTTTCTAGATGAGTGGAAAAGACAGCTGTCAAATGTGGGAAAATCTGTGAGTTTATCATCTTATTTAAGCCTTACAATAACTCTGCAAGTTAGGCAATACAAGTCTTTTTCTCCTTGCTTTACAGATGGGGAAACTGAGGCTCAGAGGACATAAGTGATTTGCCTATGGTCAAAGGTAGGGCTTGAACCCAAGTCTTTCTAACTGCAAGTCTAATGCTACCCACCACAGTGAACAGCCATGCCAAAGACATAATCCCCTTTTATAATCTTGCATAAATGTTTGTATGAAAGGATTTCTAGATTCTGGATTTGAATCAAATTTTCCACGCACATCAATAATTTTGTTAAGATTTCTATATTGATTTTCAACAACAAAAAAAACCTACCCCAAATTTAAAAAGTTGTGTGCTATACCAATCAATAAACATATCTTCTATTTTCAAGGTGATATGTGTGTGATATTTATTGGGAATAACCTGTCAACACTTAGGGAGCAGTAGTATTCCCTGGCAGGAGGTGAGGTTTGTTTGCACCTCTTTCAATGCCTGCATTCATTCTGATGAGTTTAAACGAGGTTAGCCGTGCCTTCCATTTGCACAAACTCTTCCCAGCTGAGTGTTACTGGAATGGTGGGATCCAAAAAAAAGAAGGCCATTCTGAGTGAGGACCAGGTGTCCTGGCCAAAGGCAGAGGAATCTCTCATCGCTCAAGTAAAAAAAGATGCTCTCAAAAGGGAATAAATGTCACGTCCCCCCAGGCCAGGCCTGGGGTGCTACCAATCCAATCGTGAATTAATTTGATACAGTTGTATCAACTCATTCCAAGACAAATCTTGGCTCAGAAATTGAAACAATTTGGCACAACTGACCACTGACTCCTTAGCTTGCTGGAGTTGCCTTATATTTCAGTAGGCCTACTAGAGTCTGAGGGTTTTTGTTTTTGTTTTGCCTTAAAAAGCCAGGTCTATATAGGAGTGGGGTGCCACATCTATTTACCCAGCATCAGCAAAGCAACAATTATCTGTGGAGCTGCCAGCGGTTGAGAACTTTTCATTGCATGAAAAAAGGAATAGTGAACTAAAAGCAGAGATAGCCAAACCTTAGTCTCCGTAAGAAAGTCAGGAGTCAAAATGGAATGTTAGAGAAAGTGTTACCGGTTCAGGAAGGTTAGACACATAGACTCAGGGAAGGACAAACCAGGAACAGGGATAAGAAAAAAGCCCTAGGATGAGTCCAAAGATGAGGACAATAAAATCAAGGTAGGAACAGAATGACTCCCGTTCAACTGTAACATCTTTTGACGCCAGTTTGGTTCTTGCTAGCCCTTGCTCTTTTGGTATTAAAAGGGTCTCTATCTGAAAGCTGTCAAACTCCAAGGATCTTATCATCTCCAGTATGAATTCTCTGATGCCGAGTAAGGTCTGAATTCCGACTGAAGGTTTTCCCACATTCATGACATTTAAAGGGTTTTTCTCCAGTATGTATCATCCGGTGTTTAGTAAGGGATGATCTATCACTGAATGCCTTCCCACATGCATGACACCCAAAGGGTTTCTCACCAGTATGAATTCTCTGATGTCGAACAAGGGCTGGACTCTGGCTGAAGGCTCTTCCACATTCATTACATTTATAGGGTTTCTCTCCAGTATGGATTTTTTGATGTTCAGTGAGGTGTGCATGCTGGCTGAAAGTTCTCTCACATTCATAACATTCATAACGTTTCTCTCCAGTATGAATTCTCTGGTGTTGAGCAAGATTTGTACTCAATCTGAAGGCTTTCCCACATCGGTCACATTCATAGGGCTTTTCTCCAGTATGAATTCTCTGATGTCCAATAAGGTGTGCATGCTGGCTGAAAGTTCTCTCACATTCATGACATTCAAAAGGTTTTTCTCCAGTATGAATTCTCTGATGTTTAGTGAGGATTTCACTTTTCCTGAAACTTTTCCCACACATATTACATTTATAGGGTTTCTCTCCAATATGAATTCTCTGATGTTCAGTAAGATTTGTACTTCTGCTAAAGGCTTTCCCACATTCCTTACATACATATGGTTTTTCTCCAGTATGAGTTCTCTGATGCTGAATAAGGTTTGCAGACTGACTGAAAGCTCTCCCACATTCATTACATTCATAGGGTTTCTCTCCAGTATGAATTCTCTGGTGTTGAGTAAGGATTGTATTCAATCTGAAGGCTTTCCCACATTCATTACATTCATAGGGTTTCTCTCCAGTATGGATTCTCTGATGTTCAGTAAGTTGTGTTTTCCAAATGAAGGCTTTCCCACAATCATTGCATTCATAAGGTTTTTCTCCAGTATGAATTTTCTCATGTTTAATAAGGTATGAATGTTCATTGAAAACCTTTTCACATTTATGACATTTAAAGGGTTTCTCACCAGTATGGATTCTCTGATGTTGAATAAGATGTGTATTTCTACTGAAGTCTTTCCCACATTCATTGTATTCGTGAACCTTCATCCCTAAAAACTTTCTTTGCTTATTAATTAGTTCTGAATTATGTTTGATGATTTCTTCATATTTACCTCTTTTATGGTATTGGTTTCCTATCAGACCAGTCTGCTGCTTAATAGGGACTGAGTTCTGTCCAAAGAATATCCCAAACTCATTACATTCAGGATCTCTCTTGCCTATGAGGGTGTTTCTACAGCTGATGGGTGTTTCCTTCAAATATTTTTCTTGGATTCCCTGCTGTTTCCCCAAGTGGCTGTCAGATAGTCTGGCTATTCCTAACTTAGAGTACCAGAGACCACTCCTTACGAGACTCTCCATTGCTGCTTCCTGTGATGATGTTTCTTCAGAAATGGTCTCTTGTGGAGATGGCACCTTGCTTTCCTTCACAGTCTCCAAGTCTGAAAGAAATAAAAATTGCAATGTCTCCTCTTCCATGATGAAAGGAAGGAAGGGGTTGTCATGGAGAAGGGAGAAATAAATTGATAATAAGTACAACTTATTCATATGCTGATATCATTTGAGTAAAGAGTGGGAAAAGGAGTGGCAAGATAGAAAGGGCCAAAAATGCTTCTATGAGGAGAAAAGAGGAGGGTGCAGGGGTGACTGATCCAACATGCAAGGTGAGAACAGAGAATCGTGTTGGGTTAACAAGGCAGAATGGAAGAGCAAGAAGAATAATTACACAAATTAGTAAGTCCAGGGCATATGGCTAAAGAAAGAGCATTGAATTTGGAATCATAAGACCTTGGTCTGACTTCCAGCTATGTTGTTTACTAGCTGTGTGATCCTGGTTAAGTCACTTTCTCCTTATCTATAAAAATGAAGAAGTTGGTCCAGATCAGGGGGTGTTATCTTGGGGTCTGTGAACTTGTTTTTAAAAAATATTTTGAGGACAGAAACTAACATTGTATATTAAAGTATACTCATGTGGGGAAATCCAGGAAGCAGAGGAGGTTAACATGTAGGAAAACATCTAAGTAGAGTCATCCGTCTATACTATAGACCACCTGGACAGAAGGAAGAAACAGATAAGGAGTTGGAGAAACAGATGACATGCCAGCTGCTGGGGCATCATACAGTAGTGGTGGACTTTAATTATCCAGACTTCTGCTAGAGTAGAGTCCAAAGTAGAGTAAGTAGTAGTAATTTCTCGGCTTGCCTTAATAATCTCATTATTTGAAGGATTGCCAACGACATAACTTCTATCCAAGGATCTGCTTCTCATCGATAAGGACAAAGTGGTTGCTGAGGTGAAAAGGATGTGAAGACTGGGGATAAGTGACCAATTCCCTGTAGGATTAAAGACAGAAGAGAAAAAAACCTGAGCAAAATCTAAAATGCACTCTAGATTTTGGAAGAACAGATTTCAGGAATGGTTTAGGACATAGGTGAGGAACCTGCAGCCTCAAGGCCACATGTGGCCCTCTAGGTCCTCAAGTGCAGCCCTTTGACTGAATCCAAACTTTACATAACAAATCCCCTTGTGACTTGAGAGGATTTGTGCCATAGGTTCCCTACCCCTAGTTGAGGGAAAGGACAGGTAGGATCCCATGACCTAAAATTCTACAGGGGGAAGTCATCTGAGGAGAGATGGAATCTCAAGAATGAAATCCTCAAGCAACAAAGAGAACCAATTTAACGAGGAAGAAAAGAGAAGTTAACTAAAGAGCCTGATGTGGATGCATGAGGAACTCACTGACTCTACAAAATCACTAGATTTTAAAAAGAATTGTACACAGTACATATGTAAAAAAAGTCTATGTACAGAAGACAGAAGCAAAGGCAGTTAAAAGAAAGTGAATTCAAAAGTATGGCAGGGTCCTGAAATAATAATATCAAGAGTGCTTAAACTCAGTATGAGCTCAGATTGGCCAAAAAAAAAAAAAAGCTCATAAAAGTCTAGTTTTGTTTTTTTAAAGATATTGGGGAAAAGAGGAGATCAAAGAAGGGACAGCACAGCTGCTTGGATAGACAGGATAAATAGTAAGCAACAGAAAGAAGGCAGAGCTGCTTAGCTTTCATTTTGTTTTTGGTGGGTTTTTTTTTCCTGCCAAAGAGAATGATTTTGGACTGGAAAGAACCAAACAAAAATGACTACGAGAGACTCAGGCATAAATTCCTATTGTAAGAGATAGTAAGAGAATATCTGGCTGCCTTTGACGAGTTCCCATCATCAGGCCCAGACAAAACTAAATCCTTAGTGGACACGGGGCTAGCTATGGCTGTTCATCTCAAAAATATCTTTTAAAAAGTCACTGTAGGGGGCTGCAAGTTCAATAGTCAATACTATGATATGGCAGACAAAAAAACTAATGTATTCTCAGACCGCATTCAGGGGCACAGTATCCAACTCTACAAAGGTGACATATGATCTTACTACACTCTGCCTTGGTCAGGCTATATCTAGAGTACTGTATGCAGTTCTGGGTGCCAAAGAGTAGAAAAGACATTGACAAACTTGAGTGTCCAGTAGAGAACAGTGAAGCATCTTGAGACCATTCCATTTGAAGAGGATTTGAAGGAAATGGAAATGTTTAATCTGGGGAAGAAGACTTGGGAGGGCAGGGGGAATAGTGAGGAGGAAGGTTACATGGTAAAAAAAAATTTAAGGGCTACCCTGTTGAAGAGGGATTAGATCTGTAATGTTTTGTCCTCAAACAAATGGAATGATGAGTATAAAATACAGAGATGTGATTTTGATTAGGTATAAAAGGAAACTTCCAAACAATTAGATCTGTCCCAAAGGAGAAATGGCTGCCAAAGGAGGTTAGTGGATTCCACTCTCAGCGGAAGTCAAGCATAAGCTGGTTGACCACTTAATGGTTATGTGGTAGAGGGGATTTCCCCACAGATGTAGGTTGGAGTAAATATCCTCTGAGATCCCTTTCCAAACTGTTAGATTCCGTGATTCATTTATTCATTTTTAAAAATCAGTACCAATTAATTTTTTTATAATTACTGTTTAATAGTATAGAATCAGGTAGTTCAAATTCTTTTTCTTTCCTTTTTTTGGGGGAGAACAGAGAGGGCATTATTCCTGCTAAATCCTATCAAAGTCATATATACCATGTTAATTTCTGAGTCGGTGCCTTTGTTCACAATGTTTTTCTTGCTTGGAATTTTCTCTTGTCTCATGTCCTAGTTTCTCACATGAGTCTTTCGTTGAGCTCCTCGGCCCATGTTAGTCACAGAAAAATCACAGAATTTTAGAGATGGAAGGAGCCTTTAGAGACTGTGCTATTCCCTCCCATCTCTACCTTTTATGGATGTGAAGAGATTTATCTCAAGTCACACATTATATTTTCCTTGCATTAAATCTCAATTTGATTTACAGTTATTTGTGTAAATATCTAATCTACCCTACTAGACATTAAGCTCCATGATGGCAGGGAGGGTGTCTTATTCTTGGTTGTATCCCCCATAGTATGCATTTTGACATTTATTTAAAGATTCACAGACTGAACAGAGTTCAAAGGGACCTTAAAAGTCATCAAGTCCACACCTCCCTTACATTTTAGAGATGAGGAAAACTGAGGCACAGAGTTTAAGAGACTTGCCTAGGGTCTCAAAACTAGTGTCTGAGGTGGGATTTGAGCCCAGGTCTTCCAGACTCCAACTCCAGTGCCCTATCCACTATGCCATTTTATTATGCTGCCTTGAATTGTTCCTTAGTTTTTGTTGTTTTTTTTTAAGTATAGTATTTAAATATATCATGTCTCTGTCTTGTCTTTCCAAATAGATTTTGACCTACTGAAGAGAAATGTGATTTCTATGAATTTTGTAACTTCTTTGGAAGGTACTCAGAATTCAACAAATTCCTGCTAAATAGAAGAATTAAGAGAGGGAAAAAAACTTTTTTTTGCCTGATACCAGAGTAGCAAATCAATGATTTCCTGAATGCTAACGCTGTACTTGATACTGGAGATACAAGGAAAATATAAGCAAATAATAATGATAATACCATACATTTTTACAGAGCTGTAAGGTTTGCAGAGTGTTTTCCTCACAACAGTTCTGTGAGATCAGCAGTGCTAGTGTTAATACTCCCATTTTAGAGATGATAAAGTGAGGCTTACAGAAGAGGAAACAGGTTAAATGATTTGCCAGTGATCACACAGTTAGTGTCTGAGGCAGAATTGAAACCCAGATCTTCAGATTACAAATCCAGTACTCTATCCATTATGCCATGGTGCCCTTCCCTCCAATATCTCAGAATCTAGGCAAGGAGACAAAATGAACACACGTGAAATAATTAAAGAAAAACAAAAGATCATATGTGAGGTTTAGCCTTTAAATGGTCTTGAAGTTCAGGGAAAGGAAAGATTAAAAGAGACTTGAAAACCCAAAGAAGTTCTCATGGAGGAGGTAGAATCTGAGGGGACCTTAAAGGGTCAGCAGTGTCTGGAAGAGGAAGAAGGGATGCAATGTGCAGACTATGTACAAGGGCAGATCTGTAGGGAAAAGCATGGAGTGGATGGAGCATGGAGTTAACTGGAAGAGAAGCTCTATTTAGGTATAATTCAGCAGAATACAGTTTTTGAACAGGGTCAAGGCTTTCCCACATTCATCACCTCCACTAGAATATCCTTCTTTTCTTAACTATAAAAAGCCCAAGGGCTTCGTACATAGATCACTAAGTTTAGGCACATGGTTCAGAGACCAGAAATTCCTAATCTCTCTAGACCAAAGAGCTAGGTGTTTCCACTCCCTCTTTTTACATGAAAGGTCTTTATTGGTACAGTTGAAAACCAACGTCTTCCCTATTCTATCCCTTTAAGTAGACAGGAATAAACAAGATGGACTGGAGGTAGGAAGGAGCCAGCCCTTATACAGAACAACTATCAGTTGTAGTGATATAAATTTGGACCAGAATTATGGCAGAAGAAATGGAAAGAAAGGAAAGAGATATCCTAGAGATATTTTAGAGGAAGAACAACAGGATCTGGCAATAAAATGGACAAAGAAAATGAAGGAAGAAAAAGATTCATTGTGACCCTATGGTTTCTGGATTGGAAAAATAGAATAATAAAGCCATCACTGACAGAAATAGAGCAGTTAGAAGGCAGAGCTGGATTGGCAGCAGGGACTCAGTTTTTCACATGTTGAATTTTAAGTGGCAGTGGCACATCCAAAGGGAGGTGCAAACATACGAGACATCTGGGTGGAGATGTGGAGGTGGGAGTCATCTGCAGAGAAGGGGTATTTTTAGTTTTCACAATGAATTACTAGAGAAAGGGGGAAGAAAAGAAGAAGGAAGATAGACCTTTAGGGATATGTGCAGTTAGGAGACTAGAAAGAGAATCTGGTGAAATAGAGGGAAAAAGAGACCAGGATAGTGAAGTGTAACACAAGCAATGGGAGGAGAAATTTACATGAAGAGGGATTCAACAGAGGCAAATACACGGAAGTTTAGGCAGAAAGATAGAAAAAAAAAACTTGATGGTTTGCTTGGTAAAGGTTCTGCTAGAGAAAGCAGGAGTAACATGTAGCAGGCAGAAATGAAGTGAGAGAAAATGAGGCAAAAAAAAAAAAACCAGATGAAACAGGCAGTGTGACAGGAGGAAAAGGATGTAGCCTGTGTGTTTAAAGAGCGTGACAGTGAAACTGATGAGATAAAAAAAGGGGCAACATAAAATAAACAAAATCATAAAATATATAATAAATTTTTGTTTCTGTTCTGTTGTTTTTTGAAGACGGGAGACCTGTTTGTATTCGGATGTATAAAGAAAGGAAGAGACTGAAGATGCTACAGAGGGAAGGAATGATTATAAGATTATTATAGTAATTATAATTATGTTAATTATAATGCCAGAAAAGGAGAAGTGAATGGGAATCAGGGTAGAGGAAACAGCCTGGGTGAGGATGAGGGGCATCCACTTAACCAAGACTGGGAGTGTGAAGAGAGACAAAAGGACAAAATTTGAGAGACAGGGGAAAGCATCTATCCTTCTCTATTTCCAAGGCCTTGCTTGAGGAGACAGAATATAAAGCCGATCGGTGGAAATTACAGAAAACAAATTTTACCTCAATCTAAATGAAGAACTCTCAGAGAAGAAGGGAAGACGCAAATGGAACAGGCTGGCTCGCAGAACAGCTAGGTCTCTGTCACTGGCAGTTTCCAAGCACAAGCCAGCTGGCCACCCGCCGGCGTATTACACAAGAGACCTCTGTACTAGATGGGAAGTTAGACTGCATGACTCCCCAAGTCCCTTCCAACTCTATCAGAGGAGTTTATGATATGTGGAGGGAGGTCAAGCAAGGTCAACAGAGGATTTTTATTCAAGTTAGCTTCAGTCTTCTCTGCACCCCTGCGGTACAGGGGAGCTCTGTCTTTTAAGAGCTGCCCAATCAAAACTTTCAGTATTCTACTCACTTAATCGACAAGCATTTACTAGACGATTAATGTGTACCAGGCATGGTGCCATTACTTCCTTTTCACTCTTATTCCCAGGGAAGTCCATTCTACCTAGTTTTCACTCACCTGAGCAGATGTCTCCTGAGGCTTTTCTCTCTACCTTCCAGGGTTCTTTTCCTTGCTCCAACTGAGAGATCATATCCGGTTTGGAAACTTGATGCCCTGCTCATAAGGAGAGACACAGGACTTGGGGGATTTGGTCTGGGGACAAAGAGCCATGACCAAATTCAGTCCTGGCCCCATGAGCTTTAAGATGCTTTGAACTGAAAAGAATAACATCACGGAACTACAATGATTCTGCTTATTTCCAGCTGCACAAAGGATAGACACTTCCCCTAGAAAGAAGCATGATCACTCTATCTCTGTTTCCCTAAAAGGATCAGGACTATACAAGAAGAAGCATGGGAAGATGGAAAGAACACTGGACTTAGGGTCCTATGTCCTAGGTCTGAATCCGTGGACTATCACTGAATCCTATGGACTTCTTGATATTGACTTCTTAGAGCCTGCTTTCTTCATCTGAAAAATGGGAATAATGCTAGAACTATGTCCCTCAGAGAACTGTGAAGATAGAGCTTTGTAAAATGCAAAGTTTTTTTTTTTAAAGACCTGCAAAAACAATGACACTTCAGAGGGTAAACTGAATCATAGGAGAAGTCACCCTTACCCAATGAGACCAGGTTTCCATAGTTCTCTAACATCACGTCCCTGTACAGGCCCCTCTGGGCAGGATCCAGCCATCCCCATTCCTCCTGGGTGAAGTCCACAGCCACATCCTTGAATGTCAATGATTCCTGAAATGATAAACACATTTTTATTGAACCCCATTCCTTTTCATGGCCTTGGGACCTTGGGCAAGAGGAGGTTAAAAGGATTTAAAGGAAGTGTTTCTGATAGTGTTCAGGGCTACAAGTAACCCACATCAAGTATTTACTGATTTCTAACATATCTAATAGTGTATTAAATTCTATAAATAATATAAAATAATATGGCACATGATACATGCCTTTAAGAAGTAGTTTTGCAATGTGCATAGTCTTTGACCCAGTAATAGCTAGGGCTATATCCCAAAGACATCATAGAAATGGGGAAAGGACCCATATGGATAAAAATAGTTACAGCACCTCTTTTTGTGGTGGCAAAGAATTGGAAATTGAGAGGATGCCCATCAATTGGGGAATGGCTGAACAAGCTGTGGTATATGAATGTAATGGAATACTATTGTGCTATAAGAAATGATGAGCAGGTGGACTTCAGAAAAACCTTGAAAGACTTGTATGGACTGATGCTGAGTGAAGTGAGCAGAACCAGGAGAACAGCCATGTTGTGCAATGACTAATGTTGATAAACTTAGCCCTTCTCAGCAATGCAAGGATCTAAGATATCTCCAAAGGTCTCATGATAGAAAATGCTATCCACATCCAAAGAAACAATTATGGAGTTTGAATGCAGACTGAAGCATACTATTTGCTATTTTTTTTCTTCTTTTTTGTTTTGTTTCCTCTTTCTTGTGGTTCCTTCTATTGGTTCTAATTCTTCCTTACAACAAGACTACTGTGAAAATATGAAGAAAAAAAAATAAGTAGTTTTGCTCAGGAGGAAAACTAACACATTAAATAATTAGAGAACAACTCAAGGCATTTTTCCAAATTCTCCTAAAATTTTGAGTATATCTCATACTAGTATTTCTTTAATAAATTTTAAGATGGGGGGCAGCTAGGTGGCGGAGTGGATAGAGCACCGGCCCTACATTCAGGAGGACTTGAGTTCAAATCCGGCCTCAGACACATAACACTTACTACCTGTGTGACCCTGGGCAAATCACTTAACCCTATTGCCTAGCCAAAATAAATAAATAAATTTTAAGATGGCATGGTCTATTCCTTCCAAGAACCCAGCATTTTTACTTAGGCAACGAGTTCTTCCATTATGGTCAGAATTATGTCCAAAATGGCAGCTCCCCTCATCACTTCCTACACATGTTAACAAAAGGCAAATCATGAATTTATCAGTTGCTCAGCTTTTGACTGAGGGTAACTTCTAGTATATGTCCACTTGGAAATAGTTAATGTCTTCCATCACTCCCATATTCTGCTTCCATGCAAATTTTGTGATCTGGCTCTAGAGCTTATGTTATTTCTGCTCTAGGACAAATAATATGAAATATACATCCACCATAATATTGCTTCTTTCTCCATCCTTCAATACTGACCCACACGTTCTCCACCATGCTTGTCTCCTCTAGTTTTAGATTTCTACACAGGAGTACACTCTGATATATAATGCTAACTCATCACATCCATCTAATTTCCTTTTGAGTAAAGAATAGCCTTCCATTGTTATATTCCATTGCTTTATTAATGAATTAGTCCCTCCAAGTTTCAGCAATGCCTGTGAGGTTACAGTTACCTCTTTGATTTAAGAACTCTGAGATCACCTTGCTTATCACTTGTATTCTGAGAATTTGTATATTGCAGTCAGAAGATGTGATTTTTATAACTGTCCCTGTTCCTGCATACTCTATCTATTAGATTATTGGACAATTCCACTGCTATTCTTAGACTTATAGGAGCTAGAGCTGGAAGGGGCCTTAGATATCATAGGAACACAGTTATAGAGCCAGAAGGCTTTCTAGTCCAACACCATCATTTTACAGATAAGGAAACTGAGACCCAGAAAAATCAAATGACTTGCCTGAAATAATAGGCAGTAGAGCCTGGATTTGAACCCCTGTGCTTTGTCTCTAAACTCAATGATCTCCCCACTACACCAAAATGCCTGCCAAAGTTGTACATACTATTTATTTCCAGTAACACTGTGCTTAGTAAATGTCTATTGGGATTTTCTCCTTCCTCTATTTTCAATTTAAAGTCTTACTGGACCTGCAAGTTTCTAAGAAAATATATTCTACACAATATTTTTTAGATACTCTCTATCCTGGCCCTGGTCCAGAAATCTAAATTCCATTCTCTGATACCATCTTCTTAACCTGCTCTTCAATTCCTATATCCTGCCTTCTCATAAAAAAAAAAATCTGATCAAAAATATGGAGAAAAACCAAATCCCCCAAAAAATATATATATAACAGCATTGTGTGTGATAGTTCCAAAGGACAAGCTGGACCTAGAGTTGACTTGAACAAGAGGACAGTGGACTGGATTGACTTCAGTAAGGTGCACAGCTCCTTTAAAGACCCCAAGTTTCCCATGAAAGTAAATGGCCATCTTTTTATTACCAACATGCTACCAGTATTTCTATAAGGCAGCTGGACATGGAACACAATAGTCTCCAAAGAAGCAAAAATGACTATCATACAGAGGGCAATAGGGAGGCACATGGTAGTTGTAAATAGGTGGCATCATATAACCAAAGGCAAACTCTAAATAAGGAAAGGAGTAAAAGACATTGATTGCATCAAGGAATATTATAGGAAGAGAAGATGTGCTGGTCATGTGGCAAGAGTGAGGGATGACCAGTGGATAGTCAGACTGTTCCACTGTTACTTTCCCAATGTCAAAAAAAAAAAAAAATGCAAGAGAGACCTCTAGCACATTGGTGAGATCCCCTGTGGCAGGGGGAGGCCATAGTCAAAAGTCACCCAAGATGGAGAGGCCTGACTCTTCTGAACTTCTGACTCAATGAGAGTACAGATCCATTGGAGTAAAATGACTCATTTTCATCAGCAATGACAGCAATCATCAAGTTTGACTCTATCAACTCAGTACCTGATGAACTATTTGAAGAAATAGCAATGGATCTTAAAAGGACAGTTAAACCTGACTAAATACATTCTGAAAAACAAATATGCAAAGGAGGTGAAATAATTAAAAAAAAACCCAAAAACTTGGAGACCAATTTTTAAGATATCTCAAAGGGAAAGTTCCAAAGGAATGAAAAAGATCATATATAGGTTTTTTGGGGGGGGGTCCAAGGCAGACAGTATGGAGCTGTGATTTCACTGGTGTAGGGAAGAGCTTGCGAGAAAAATCCTCTATTAATGCAATTCAACAACTATTCTTCAATTTGTCACCTAAGGGAGTTCTGGGGCACTGAGTCATCAAGTGCTCAGGATGACCCAGCTGGTATGTGCCAAGAGTTGGGTTTGGTACCCAGGTTATCCTGATTCCAAGTCTGGTCCTCTATCCACCATGCAGCCACTGCCTCTAATCACAGACAATACTCCTATCAAAAAAGAACTAAAAAGTCATTAACAACTACTGAACCATATATCAGCTTTCTTATTTTTATAAGGTCTATCTGAGAATGGTCCATAGCATATGAAGGGCAGGCTGAAGAACAAGCCTGCTCTTGCAGATGATTTTTTTATCGCAAATCACAACTTTATGGTCACACACCTAACTGAGAGGTATAAAGAATACAAGATCCCATTGTGTCTCTTATTAGATTTTTTAAATGTCTGATTCAGTAGAACAAAATGCAGCCTTGAAGGGTTCCCCTCAAAGTGTCTAATGTACATATATTAAAATTATTAAAAAATTTTGACAGGTATAATGACAGAGATAATTTCATTCAATGACCTATTGATTACTGATATTAAACAAGAAGTATAACATTTGAGGTGCTCACCAGTATCATAGAAGTTGTCCTGTACAGAACCCAAACAAAGGGATTCTAAATTGATGAAGAGGTTCTGTCTATTTGTTGATGGCATTGTACTACCTATGTTGAACCATGAAACACTACAAAGCCCCCTCAGTGAAATCCACACTGATACAAAATATCAATCTTACCATCCACACTGGAAAAATGAAGTGGATGAAAAATACAAATTACCCAAACTATAACATGCAACTGCATGAATAGCTCATAAAATTATTCACACACATTCATATACATTTATGTGTATGAAGGTGTGTGTGTGTATGTATCTTGAACAGTTGCTAAAGATGGAAGCTGAATTGGGCTCAAAATTGAGTATAAAGTAGTCATTTGGGAAACAACATAGCACTTTCCATGATCCCAAACTGTTCACTTACACAAAAGTCCTTCTCTTTAAGGTGACATTCTTCCAGTGATGTTTTTGTATAATTGTAAATAATGGACCACCATGATTTCAGAGGATTAAGATTTCAAGTAATCTCAGAACATGATAGGCATAGGTAGCCTGCAGCCTATTACCAACCACAACTGGTGTCTGAGATGAGATGTGGAAGACCTCACCAAGGGCATGGATGATCAGAAGAGGAGGTGAACTAGTCAGGTAGTGAAAATGAGAGACAAGAGATGACAAGATTTAGAGCTGGAAGGGGCCTTAGGGATCATTTAGTTCAACCCCTCATTGGAACTGAGGAAACTGAGGCTCAGGAAAGTAAAGTAACTTACCCAGGTCCCACAGGTGGTAGGCAACAGAGTCAGGATGCGAACCAGGTCTTCTGACTCCAAATCCAGTGGTCTTCCACTATACCAGAGCCCAAGTGCTATACTGGTATCTCTGAGATGGTAAAATAACCAGAGGAAGGCCTTCAGCACATTGGGTAGACTTTCTATGGATATTTATGGAAAGATGTGCTTAAGAGTCCCTAGAATGAAAAAGGTTGGAATCTGCACTAATGGAGGGAGTGTACATACCAATGAAATCACAGATATGTCAAGGAAAGTGGCTCTCTATTGGGACAGAACTCTTTGATCTTACAGGCGCTATATGTTTTGTTTATAAGCCCTAATTCAGAGTACTAAGCACACAGGAAGCCTAAATAACAAGTTGGATGAATGAATGAGAGGACATTAGGAGTGTAGGGTGAAAGCTGGGCAATATTCTCAGTAAGTCCTTTATGCATCAGAATAGGTTTAAGTTTCCTGAGGGAAAAGAGTTAGGATCCTGGATCCTGGATGGGGCTTTGTTGGGTAGGGAAGCTCCTAGATAAAGGAAGGAAATGTTTCTACTCAGTGAGACCCAAGATGGTTTTTCAGGAGAGACAGAAGAAACTTCAACTCACCTGAGACCTGGTCATCAGGATCCCAGAGTCCTTCTCCTCTGTGTCTCCCAGATGAGAAAGGGCAGAATCCTGCAAATGTAGAGCTAGGAAGAAAAAAGGGCCATGACTTGTAAACCATCCATGACCTTGAAATTCCCTTACTCATCAAGTTCAAATTTCTTATTTGGTTGAGTATGACCACCATACTCTTGTCAGATGGAGGTAAAAGGGAACCCCGAAAAAGCCCCAATCCTTCCTTTCAAGAGAACAGATCCATGGGTATGGCTGCCTGGGACCTTATATCTTTCTAAATAGTCCTCGAAGGTTTCAGGAACAGATCCCTTGTCTAAGAATCAGAAAATGAAACCTGAATTCATAGCTCAGACCCCACATGTGGTGAGATTTCAAGTATGCATCTGTTATTTCTTATTTAATGAGGAAAAAAATATTGCTATTTTCGTTCCCTTGCTCACAGCACATGTGAGTTATCTATTTGCTGGGCTGTTTGCAAAAAACATCTTAATAAATATAAGACATTAGCTTTACTATCACAGGAACAAAAGTGGTCTAAGAGAAAGAACATACAACTACAATCAGCAGACTTCAAAATCCTACCAGTTCAGACAGCTAAGCAGTATACTAGAAAGACCACTGGACTTGGAGTCAGCAAGACTTGAGTTCAAAATCCACCTTCACAAGCTTAATAGCTGTGTGGCCTTAATCCTACCTCTTAACCTCTCTCAGCCTCAGTTTCCTCATCTGTAAAATGGAGATCATAAGAATACCTACTTCCCAGGGTTGTTGTAAGAATCAAAATCTTTAAATGTGTAAAGAGCTTTGTAAGTCCAAAAACACTTTTTAAATCTTAAAACATAAGTGCTAGCTATTCTTATAAGTTAACTAGGGGATTTAAATACAAGTTAATGAGTGGGATTTTAAACACTTCATGCCACATCACAAAACAGTGAGGTGACTGGTCTGTCCCTCTATCATTCTACCACGGGAACAGCACTTCAGCAGATTCCTCCCATCATGCTTTCTGAGGGCATGCTACTACAAGGCATTGGAGAGGACTTGATTAGAATGATGCGTCACAGATCTACAAGAACTAACCACACCCTAAGACCAAAAAACTCTGCATCCCATACGCTACTTCTCATCTCACCCAGTACAGAGGCAGCTAAGGGAGGCAGCGGAGAGGTATAAATCTGTCTCAGGCACGGACTAGCTGTGTGACCTTTGACAAGTCTCTTAACCTCCGTTTGCCTGTTTTCTCAACTGTAAAATGGGGATAATTATAGCACCTATCTCCCAAGGGTGTTATGAGGAAAACATGAAATAATAATTATAAAGCACCTGGCACACAGTAACTGCTAAATAAATGGTAGCTATTGGGGGCAGTTAGGTGGTGTAGTGGATAGAGCACTGGCCCTGAAGTCAGGAGGACTTGAGTTCAAATCCGGCCTCAGACCAAACACTTGACGCTTACTAGCTGTGCGACCCTGGGCAAGTCACTTAACCGCAGTTGCCAAAAATAAATAAATAAATGGTAACTATTATTATTAAAATGATTTATCTATACTCCTCAAGGGGCAGGAAAAACCGATCTGTTTTAGAACTAGCCTGCTTACTTTGGTATGTCCACGTATGGCTACAGACACCTAATGGGTGAGAGAAATTGTTTTACTATTATATTAATAACCAATCATTAATCTGAGATCCAGGCTTTTCTCCTTTATTTCCTCATTTAAAAGTAAAGTCAGTCTCTGTAAAAAGTTCCTATAAAAAGTCAGTCTCTGAAGGACATGACTGATTGATGAGGTTGTCCTAGGCTTCAAGTAACATGCTCTTCAGTCTTGGGTGGGACTTCACCCAACTAGGAGACCTTACTTCTGCTTAGAGTGTAAAAAGAATCCAGTCTGGATCAGTCCTTACCCAGAGGAAAACGAGCCCTGAACTTGTACCCCACTATTAGAGTTTAGGGTGACCCAGCTCACGAAAGAGAAAACCAACCACAGTGGTCTTGATGGAAATGGATTCCCACGTCCAGATTGCTAAAAACAACTGAGTCTCATGATCAAACCACACTCTCAGCAGGAGGAGCTGAAGACTCTTAGCCATCTACTCATTAAATGTCCACCAATCAGGGTTGATTTTCACTTGTCAGGGGCATTCCCTTTTACAAAGGTATTTAAGGCATTCAGCGTCTCCATTGGGAGGTCTTTGGTCATCAAGAGAAACCACTGATCATCAATTTACTGGTTATTAGCTAGTCTAATTAATAAAGTGATTATTAATTACCCAGAAACTCTGTCTCTCAGGGTTTTCATTTGTTATATGGGGGAGGATAGAGAGGAGGATAAGTGCATTCTGATAAGCCAGGTATGTGCACAGCCACAGGACCAGAACCATGGGAGCTGAGGCAGATGGCAGTGTATATTCAGTGATGAAGAGAAGCATTAGGAGAATAAAAGCCAAAGCTTGGGAACATAGCGTGTCCCACCTGAACACCATTCCTTCACCTTCACACATTCTCCTCTGAAGTGGGTGTCTGCCTCTTTCCCATCATGGAGAGAGTCCCCCAACCCCTTCTATCCCAAACCCCTGAATCCCTTTTTCGGAACTCACCTTTCTCTTCAAGCATCTGGATCAAATCCTCCATGGTTACCTCCTTCTTGCTGTTTTCATTCTGTTCTGTTTCTCCAGGTGGAAGGGACAGGAATTACTCCAAGGCCAACAGCTCCAAGACCTGCACCATCACGTCAGTGTCCAGGCTCTGCCATGAAGCCCTGGTCAAAGGTCTCATGTCGGATGAGTGTCTTCCACAATGGATTCCCACTGCTTGGGATATTCTACCTTTACTAGGTCATGGGGGCTCAGGAGCAAGCTCAAGTTAACCGAAAGTTTCACTCTGAAACTCAGATCTGTTTCAAGTAGAAGATCCTTACTTTAATGCTCCAGGATGGGCCCCTACAGACCATACCCAGGGCTGTTGGGGACAAAAATTGGTCCAAGTCAGAGAAGAGAAGCAGCGGCCTTATGTCCACAGTTTGCGATCAAGAACTGGACTCACATGTTGAGTTTCAAATCATTTAACAAACAATTAATGAGGCAGTATGGCTTAGAGAAATGAGTGATAAGTCATGAGGTAACAAGGTTCAAATCGCTCAGTTTCCTTAGCTGTACACCAGAGACAATAACAATTGTCCTAATAAGCTACGGTGAGGTAAGATAAGTAAAGCACTTAAAACATCTATTAATGGGCACCCCAACTGTGGGATATAAGACAGAAAGAGATATGGGCACATATTGGGACAACAAGAAACTCTGGAACTAAATGGATGTATACAGGTGCCCAGGGCCCTATGCTAATACAGAAAAACACCATTACCTAGGGCCTTTGGCAGACACACATAGATAAAGGCACCCAGGACTCTTGGCAGACACATACAGACACAAGTAACCAGGGAGTGGGTTCTTGACTGACACACTCAGACACTGTTTTTGCCTTTGTTTCTATGCCCAGCACTTAGCCCAGTGCCTTTAAATAAATGCTTGCTGACTTGATTTGATCCACAAGGCTTCTGATTGACATACTCAGTCACATGAACCTGGGCTCAGGGCAGACCTACGGATTTCGGCAGGCACATTGGGGTGCACACATACCCAGGCTCTGGAGTGACACACAAAGAGCCATGGGTCCCCCAGGGCTTCTGGCTCCCACTCACACATGCACAGGTACAGACACACAAATACCTAGGGCTTCTGGCAGGTGCTGGGGCTGGTTCATTCTCTCTCTCTCTCTCTCTCTCTCACACACACACACACACACACACACACACACACACACTGGTGCCCGGGGCTCCTGGCTCACACTCACTCATACACAAGAGTACGCGGGGCTTTGGGCTCACACACACGTACACGTACCCGTACACGTATACATACAGAGCCCCAGGGCTTCTGGCTCACACAGGCAGACACACACACACACACGCACGGGTAGCCAGGGCTTTTGGTTCACACGCACGCACGCACGCACGCACACACACACAGGGCCTCCCCCGCCGGGCTTTGCAGCGCGGGCTGCCAATCAGGCCTGTATGGGCTGTCCACGTAGGATCACTGCCCCCCACCCCTGGCCCCGGGCCGGAGGAACTTCGGCTCTTCTCCTCCTCCCACTCCCCCCTCGGCCCCCGATTCAGGCCCAGTCCCTTCGCTGGCCCGGCTCGTGTGGCAGGGCACAGGAGGGCCTGTCCTGGGCTGCACGCCTCGGTCGGTCAGTACCTGGAGACTGGTTCTGGAAGCGGACCGAACAGCCCCTGAGCTTCCTCCGTGCACCCCAGGCTGAGGGTGGAGTGCGCCTGCGCCTGAGAGTTAAAACTACAATTCCCAGAATGCGGCTGGCCGCTCCGTTTCTATTTTCCCGCGGTTCCACCGTCCAAAATTTAAAAAAAAAAAAAAAAGCGTGATGGTTAGCATTGCTCTGCTCTATCCCTTCCAGGCACTAAGGAACTAACTAGTCCCACCCACAATGACGTCAATGTCTAAACAGGCTCTGCCTGAGATGCGCCATACTGTCTCCCTGGCAACCACTAGAGAGTGGTCCAGTTCTTTACTCCTATTCAAATATCACTGCCTGGGACAGAAAAGAATCGTTTCATTTTAAAATCCTGACGTAGATTTAGAATGAAATTAGGGTTCTGTCAGATTCCAAGTGACACCCCAAGGTAGGATATGATGTAATGGAAAGAGCACTGGAAGAACCAAGCAAACATTGTATACAAATCTATACAATTACTACATGAATTACAGTAATGAAAATTACTCTAATTACAGTAATGAAAACAGTAAAAGGCAGCTAGACTCAGACTCAGATTATTTGCAATGAACAATCATGATTCTGGAGAACATACACAGCTTGGTGACAAAGTGTCTGGAGTCAGGAAGACCTGAGGTCAAAAAGGCCTCAGACACTAGCAGTGACCCTGGAACTCAGTGAACCTTTGTTTGTCTCAGTTTCCTCATCTGCCAAATGGGGGTGAGGATAACAATAGCACCTACCTCCCAAGGCTGTTGTGACGATAACATGGGATAATATTTGTTAAGTGCTTTGCAAACCTTAAAGAGGTAGATATAAATGCTAGCTATTATTACAATAGAGGATGAAACACACTCCTTGAAGCACAGGGAGCTGGGCAGGGAAGGGTAAGGGAAATGAGTTCAGAATAGTGCAAAAAACAATCAGGTCTGGTTTTTGCTTAAATGTTTTTCTTTGTGTCCCTGAGAGATTTTTACAGTTTTTGTTTTTTGCTAGGCAACGGGGTTAAGTGACTTGCCCAGCGTCACACAGCTAGTGCCTGTTATGTGTCTGAGGCCGCATTTGAACTCAGGTCCTCCTGACTCCAGGGCCAGTGCTCTATCCACTATGCCACCTAGCTGCCCCCGATTTAAAAATCCATTTTTATTTTTCTTTATTTGTGAGGCAATTGGGGTTAAGTGACTTGCCCAGGGTCACACAGCTAGTAAGTGCCAAGTATCTGAGGCTGGATTTAAACTCAGGTCCTCCTGACTCCAAGGCCAAAGCTCTATCCACTATGCCACCTAGCTGCCCCGATTTTTACATTTGTTACAAGAAGGATCCACAGGGAAATGATCGATGTGAAAAACAGCACAAAAGGCATAAATAAAAATAACAAATTTTGAAGAAAATAAAAAGCACTGAACTTGGAGGCCACTGAGACTTGGGATGAATCCTGTCTCTGACATTAGCTGTGTGACCCTGGGGCAAATATTTTAACCTCTTTGATCCCCAGTTTCTATAAATATGAGTTACTAAAATTTGCTTCCAGAGTTAAGTGGGTTAGAAAGGCCCTACAAGGGTGGAGAACCTTCAACCTCGAGGCCACCTATGTCCTGAGAACCTAGAGGGTCGCAGGTTCCCCATCCCTGCCCTAGTGGAAGGCAATGTTCCTTACTTAGGGGTGCACTGGAGCCAGCTCTAACAAGCTTTCAAAAGCTGATTGTTGAATTTTCCTTGTAAACACTTACACCTCAGAAATCAGCGATAACTTTAAATCCAAGTTAGATCTATTGTTTTGTTGATTGTTTAGACTTTTTTTTAAAAAGTGCTAATAAACTTAAGAGTGTGTGCAATACATTTCCCCTACTTCCCCCAGAAACTAGTTGTCAAACATTTACCACCACCAAGGGAAGCGTTTCAACTTTGTGGAATAGTGATCTTCAAGGAAGTTAATTTGTTTTTGAAGCTGTGCTTTATATATCCATAAAAATTTAATCTGTTGACAACAGGACAGTATACACAATGACTATAAAAATGTAAATGAGAAGATTGAAAGGAAGACAAGGATTGAATAATGGAAAAATCAGTGAAGGTCCCAAAGAACAGATAATGTTATCTACCTTCTGCCTCAAGGCAAAGAAGTGGAGGACCTCTAGGACAGATTGTTATATATAAACAATTAGCTATAGTTACTGTTTCAGATCTTTACTTAATGTTTTTCTTTATTTCAAGAGATGGTGCAGTCTGGAAGGGGGAAGGTGTTTAAATCTGAAGAGCTATCACGTGGAGGAAATACTAGCTTGTTCTATCTGGGCTCAGAGGTCAGAATCAGGCAGACATTGGAAAGAGAACAATTGGGACAATGTCAGGGAAAAAAATTCCTAAGAATTAAAGATTCCAAAAGTGTAATGGGCTGCCTCAAAAAGTAGTGGCTTTCTCTTCTTTGGAGAATTTCAAGCAGTAGCTGGATGACTACTTGCCATAGTGGGGATTCCTTTTAAGGTATGGGTTGGTTATCCAACATATTTTTGGTAATGGTGAGGTTTATTTCTATATCATACCCCCCAGGAGTGACTGAAGTTTCATAGAAACAAAGGTCATAGGAGTTGATGAACTGGGAAGTGAGTGTTAGATCATCCGTGTGAATATTGAAATTACCAAGGATAAAGGCAGGAGTTTGGATGCAAAAAACTGTAAGTTCAAGTTCTGAGGAAGGAGAGAGGATGACCTACAGAATCTCTACAGAAGATGATATAACAAAAAAGATCTGACCTGTGAGACATAATCGGTTAGTGTAAATTTCATATAAGAAGAGGATGGAGCATGGAAGAGGCAGTGTAGGAAGTTTGTTGACTTTTCCTCACTTTACGTATGGGAAATGATGAAAAAAGTAGCAGACGGCCTCAGAAAGGGTGGCATGGAATACAGTCTCATCAGGAGAAAATTAGACTTCAGTTAGCACCAGAGGATGAAAGAAGTGCTAGAGAAAGTGCTTGAAGGGAACTGGTTAACAACTGAGTGGAGATTCCAGAGGGCATAGTGGAAAGGGTGAGTAGAGAATAGCAACTTGGGAGGGACAGGACTGAAGTAACTAGCGAGGTAAGTTCATTGAGAGGTAACAAAGGAAAGTGGTTTTCCCTTAGGTAGCTAGAGGTTCTGAATCATAAGGGGTTAGAGGAGGAGGAGGTTGGTTTCTCTGGGTGTCTTGGGGTGTCAATGTGTAGGGGGAAACCTGCAGACTAAATTGGCCCCAAGGTATTAATTAGAATGTTCAAGTGACGTGGCCTCAGTGGAGTCTCTTGATTGCAGTAAGGAAGAGAAATTAGACTTGTTCTGCTGGGCCCCAGAGGGCATAAGTAGGAGAAATGGGTGGAAGCCACAGAGGCCCATTATCACTAATTATAAGGAAAAACTTCTTTACAATTAGAGGTATTTAAAAGTAGAATGGTCTGCTTTAAGAGGTCTAAGTATGTAAGGTCCCTCCGGGCTGAGAAAAAGGATCTGGCTCCTGTGGATAATAATGGATTTCAGGAAGGGTCCTTGGCTGAATTGCTTTTCAGGCTATGCTTTTTTTTTTTTTTTTTTTTTGGGCAATCGGGGTTAAGTGACTTGCCCAGGGTCACACAGCTGGTGCATGTATGAGGCTGGATTGGAACTCAGATCCTCCTGACTCCAGGGCAGTACTCTATCCACTGAGACCTTAGCAGTCCCCAGGCTGTGTTTTTAATGTGTAACTGCTCCACAGCTCCCTTGTTCTCCCCATTTCCAGCTCTTCCTGTCTTACATGCTTGTGAAAAGCAGTCAGCCTTAGCCTTTGTATCCTACTTTAGTGAGCACCTCCCATCACTTTCTGTAGAAAAGTCCAGGAGATCCTGGGAGGGAAAACAAAAGAGTTGAAGCGATGGGAGAGGGCCTGCTCAGTCTTGGCTACAAAGTTTTATAAGAAGGATGAAGGTAGTTTGAATTGACATTTCTGTAACTCTGAAGAGGTGGAAACAAGGACAGGGACCCTAGGTGTATCTATATATGTTCATGCCAATAGGTAGCAAGGGAAGGCCTTCAATAAAAATGAGGATAAAAATCTTAGCACTTTAGTTATGAGTCTAAGTCAGTTACTTATTACGGTAGCCTTAGCATCCTACTTTTCAGAAGGCAGGGACTGCCATTTTTATATTTATATCCCTTGCATAATGAGCTGAACAGAGGAGGACCTTATAATGTTTGTTCAAATGAATTGAACTCTGTGTGGGTAAGCTTAGCATGTTGCTGGGAAGTGTATTGCTTGGGCCTCTAATGTACCAGCTAATACCGGCTGCCTGTCAACTCCTAGAATGAACTTTTTGGACAGCAAGGAACAGAGGGCATTGTCAAACACAGGTGGGATGATAAGGGCAATGATTTCTTTTCCCAAGAGCCTTAGCCTGGGAGACCACTACTCTTTTGGCTCTACTCTTGACTTGTGGAATTTATCCACCATTCCTAACCACCACTCTCTTCATGTATTTTCCTCCCTTCTCCTCTCCTTTTCATCTTCCTTTTATGTGTTATGTTCCCTTTAGAATGTAAACTCTTTCTGCTTATATTTGCATTCCTAGTAATTAGCCTAGTGAAACATAGTAAGTGCTCAATTAATGCTTGTTGATTAGAATATTCTGGGATCAACAGAAGCATATAGCAACTTCTCCAAAGAGCATGAGCTATGGGGAACCCAAAGAGCAGGGATCATAAAATTTATCAATTTAATTAAAAAAGCATTTATAAAGCAGTTACTATTTGCCACTGTAGACACTGGAAGTACAAAGACAAATATAAAATAGTGTCTGCCCTCAAGAAGCTTATATTCTACTGCTGGAAACAATACATATGCAGATGTAACCCATGGCCCAGGGCCTCCCAAAGACTCTTTGCTTACACAGATCAGGTTCAATCCTGTGGGCTGATCCCACAGGGTCATCTTCTTTCTTTGATCCTTTCCCTAACCTAGAATTCTCTGGGAAAATCTCTTAAACAAAGCTTTAAAGTGGGTGGCATCTAGGTTTCTCCAA